TTTCAGCGCATAATACTGAGCAGGCGTTTTGGAAACTAGATTGAATTCGATGGTGTGTTTAAGGAGTTCCAAAAAGTGTGGATGCATAATTCCATTCCTTTTTCAGACCACACGTACTCATAACATTCACGGCGAAAGTAAACTGCTGAAGGACGTGCGATTTAAATACAGTTTTCTGGTGTTATGAACTAAATGCAGGCACTTGCGAGTGCAATTGTCGAACATTTATGACTTATCGATATCCTTGTCGTCATATACTACTGACATATGTAAAAAGATCAACTCTTACAGGTAAGCTTAATCATCTACGAAATAAATAAACTAATTAGCTCATCAAATACTTAGACCATGCAGCCGATGGAAGTTAAATAACACTCAATAACTTCCATTATAATACAACAACATCATTACCCAGACGGAGTGATGAGTATATATGAATTCAAAGAAGCCAGAAAATCCATAAACAACAGATAGTTGAAAAATATGGTGGACATTTAGCTATGGTGGTGGAGAAAAAAGTAGACAATTATCACTTAAAAATCAATAACTAGGCAAAACTGCCATTTTTCAAACATGTCTCTTCCTGCAGTCCTACTTATGATCAGTATATTCGGATGAATAATTGCAGTGGCATTGTTTCTTAATCACATGGTCTCCGGAGTCAAGCATATAATAACTAAAAAGATGTAACACTTGAAGAAGGTTGGAAGTGGTGAACGTGGAGATATTCATTCAATCGAATGGCATGACTCAGTGTTGCAGACGCGCTCATTATGTTTAACTTATTTGTATTCACATTAAATATATTATTCTATCCCAAGCATAAATGTGTTCTTCAGAAGTACTAAGTATTGTTATTTGTCGCGATACGATGTGTTAGTGTAGATAGTGATGTGATTTTCACGTAAAATCTTATAGACTAGGCAAACGAACGATAAATTTACCGTTATCGGACAACGTTTATTATGAAAGTAGTATTAGTACCGAACTAGACTATACACATACTAAAAGATTTAAAGTGCGAAAAACTACAGTTGTTATATTTATATTATATTTAGATAACTTATTAGATGAATAAACGCGGTAGTAGTCAATACAAAACACAGTTATCGTCAATGTGTGAATTGTTTCTCCGCATAAACTTCCATATTAAGAAGTTCGTCAAGTTGTTCACCTGCATAGACTTGATTATTACAAAGATTTGAGCCTTTCAATTAGTTGACAGAAGTCATAAGTTGCAAAACAAAATGTATGGATAGCTTGCTCAATGCAATTCTGAAAAACAACAAATCAATCGTGAAAAAAAGATTAAACTTCGTTATCAATATCAAATTCGATAAATAAATGAAATAGCAATTGATAGGATGAACCTGTAATTGTTTTACTTGCTGTAGACAGTGCTCTTCATTTTCTAAACTTCCTACAATTTCATCTAGTTATTCGGTATTAACAAACAAACTTCAGGCACTCACAAACTTTAATTAGTTAAATGAAATTTGAGAAAAATCCAATTACAACATTCATAATACTGTTTGCAGTCCACTGTTTACATACAATAATGAAATAACTGGTAACCACTATTTAGCGATAACTCGTCAACATGAAATAAAATTTTGTTTATGATTTAGTCAGTGATTTCGGATTCTGTTAACAGAAATTTATATTTTAACCCTATACGAGACATCGTAAAATAGTATTATCTACGACATGTTTTAGTTACTATGCTCATAACAAACACGCGTCGCTTTACTTAAGAAGAGTATTTGGCTAGCTTAAGTGGCACTTACAGTAATGTTCTAAGCAATTCCTGTATAAATTCAGAAAGCGGGCAGAAAAATTTATCAACGCCAATTGTTCAGTTTCAGTTTGAAAAGGACGGGAGGCTTGATGGCCTGTGTTAGTCCTGGCAATGATAGTCTCTCAGCTGATCCAACTTTATTTTGAAGGAGTCGATGGATGGAGCCTCAACCACGTGCTGAGGTAATGAATTCCACTCGTTGATTATTCGATGGGAAAGTCAGTATTCAGCTGACAAGTAATTCGTTCTGGGCTTGTGAACTTTTTTGGAGTGTCCTCGTAGATTTTCAGTTTAGGAAGACAAGAAAAATGAGTAAATATCAGGTGCAAATTTGCCATTAAGCAATTTGAAAACTGTAATCAAGTCGTCTCTGATTCTTCGATATGACAGCGGGAATAGGTTTAGCTTGATCAGTCTAGTACCATACGGGATCTTCGCTATTCCGGGAATCAGCCTAGTTGCTGTTCTCTGAACCATTTCCAGAGTTCACTGTCTTTTTTAGGCAGGGGCTAGCTGTTTGTATGCAGTACTCAAGTTTAGGACATACGAACACTGTATACAAAGTCAGAAACGTTTTAGCGTCGAGATGCCAAAAAGCCCTGCGTATGGACTATAAAGTTCTAAAACCTTTGGCGGCTATTGCACCGCAGTGTGCATTAGTCTTTAAGTCTTGACCAACGATGACTCCTAAGTCATTGTGTGCCTGGACAATAGGTAATTCAGTGTTATTCATCGTGTATGTATCTGTACCCTGATAGCCAATATGCATCACAATACACTTGGAAGTGTTTATCGGCAATTGCCAGGTTTGGGACCATTCAGATAATCTCTCCAGGTCATTTTGGAGTTCTAAGCTATCAACCTTGCTTTGTATCGCTCTCCATATCTTGACATCGTCAGCATAGAGTAAGACCGATGACGATAGTAGACGAGGGAGATCATTTACGTACAGAAGGAATAACACTGGCCCCAAAGCTGTATCCTGGGGTACTCAACTAAACACAGTTTCCCAGCTAGATAACTTGGGGTTCACCCTTACTCTTTGCTGACGCCCAACTAGGAAGTCTTTTATCTACATCAATAGATTGCCTCCAATCCCGATATTCCTTAGCTTATATAACAGCCGGTTGTGCGGAACTTTGTCGAACGCTTTGCTGAAATCGATGTACGCTACGTCTATAGGTAACTTTTGGTCCTTAAGAGAGCACCAGCTTTCACAAGCGACTAATAAGCTTGTGAGACAAGAGTAACCTGTTCTAAAACTATGCTGCTTTTCCGAGAGGAACCGGTTTTCATCGAAATACTTAAACAGCTCCTTCCGAATAATCTTTTCCAAGATTTTGACAACCACGCTAGTTAGGCTAATAGGTCGGTTATTTTCAGGCTTATGTTTTGTACCTGTTTTGAAGACTTACATTATTTTTCTTCCTCACATTGCGTAATAATATATCAGTCCAGATGATAGCGGTGATACTTATCATGGATAGAACTGTTTACGACTGTATATTAATAGTTCATGTCGTAATGTAGCACGTTGTATATTGATGTTCACTTGGAAGCAAGAGCGATCTGAAACAACAACACTACAGTTAGGACCGGTAAGTGCCGTTGAAGTTAGAACACAGTGTTCTGGAACAACAGATATATTTTTAAAACTGAAAGACACGAATCGAGTACAAAAGGGGAAACTTACTACAAGAAAGTTTTATTCATTGTTCTGCTCGTTCAGATCGCGTAGGGCTTCTTCATCTTTTTCCAGTGTGTTTGCTCTTTGTTGCCCTGCAATAGAAAAACAAACTCGCAATAGAAACGTCGCATGGAATGATTATTATAACCATTACAAGGTTCATGAATAGTTTGACTCTCAATTGCTTCAATTACAATTTATAAACAACTACCAGCACCCGTGTTCATCACTACCATAATAGGAGAGGCGAGTCATATGTAAATTATTTTACAGCTTGTTTTTGCCTGAAACTATAGTTTCGGTCCAATTTTCGACTCGATAAATGATAAATTTCACTTACTTGAGTTTGCATTGTTACAAATTACCAAATAAGGCTGACTAAACATTCATTCAGGTTGTCAGCTCCAAATACGTCAGGCAACCAATAGACTGCAATAAATGCCATGTAACACTCATAAATATTACAAAAATTAACATGTGACGGAAAAATGCTGTGATTAGCCGATAAAAAACGACATTAAAAATCCGCGACAACATGTAACGTATGAGCGAGAATCAATGACATGACTTTTCAACCATGCCATGTGTGCCACGGGGAAACTCTGAGAAATCGCACGTCAGAGAGAGAAAAACCGTAGTTCACTTAAAGGACAGTTTCAAGAGGAGGTTTGATAAAAATGAATTCATATCTCGTACCTGGACTAGTTGTACCTGATCTATGTTGTAGTGGTAAACAAATCTCAAAATAAAATGTCCTGTGAGTTTTCGACATTATTGCTGTCCTTATTGGTTTTACTGAACACCTCCTAGTTGAAGGCGATCGATGACGCATCCTCTCTAGATCACGAGTGGGTACCCCATGCTACGCACCACTTGCAGCTGTTAGTCAGCCCGGACCAAATGATTTTTGGCATTTCGACAGCGTTCAAAACACATCTCCGAACTCCTTTATTTCTGACTTTTGATTTAACTGGACTGGTATACTTCTATTATAAATTCGCTATATGTGAAGGCGTTGTCGAATTCCGAATAGCTGTGGCATCTTCAATGTTTTACAACATACTTGCCATTATTATTACCATACAATACTAACTTACGTCTATACATCCGTTTACCTGTTGTTTTTACATCTTTGTCTATTCGTATTGTTTAATTGATAGAATAATTAGTCTACTTCTGAATATAGCCTTCTCATCTCCCTTCTGGATTATATTTATTTGCACACTTCATCATTTTAGCCAATCAGTCGAGCGCTTGATAATGTGATAACTGCTGGTTCCAGTAAACCTCACTCACTCAAATTTCAAAATACAAAAACCCATAATCAAACTCTCTTGGACGAGTGCAGTTGAGTGACTAGAATATTCCAATTGCAGGCCATTAATAAATTGTTATGGTACCAAAATAGCGAGAAGCAAGTGAAAGCAAATCAACTGGTTTAAATAAGCTTATTACGATGAAATTGAGTAAATTGCTTATAGCCACTTGATTTGAAGTGAGCGGAACACGGCGGCAATGAGTCCCGGCGCCGATCCTGATTCGTCTTGTGTAATAACAGCTGTTGGTTTCGTCTCACAGGCTGGAAACAGACAGCAAAAATATGAAGTAGTAGGTTGGAAAACTTCTGTTGCCATTGCTCCACAACTATAAACCAATTTTTTTCTCCGAACATGCGAAGCGCTCAAGCTTAACACAGTTCATAAAATGCATGAAATGTCTTAAGCTTGATAACGTTGAAATTGACTGGCTGAAAATCGTTGTAAATCGTTGTGTTCATCTGTAGAGTTGATTCGTTTCCTCAAATGTATTTGCGGATCCCAGTCTCCAAATGTTGGGTTTTCCTCAAAGTTCGGGGAAATATTAGGGAGAACGTGAAGTTCTTCAGGCAACTTCGGGGGTTCCTCTAAGATTTAAGGTTATTTTAGGGGGATTTCTCTACACTCGTGGAGATTTGAGGGGGGTGTTTGTTCCATTTCCCAAAAATGTTCTATGTCGGCTTCCGCAAATTCTCCCCAAAAATCGGGAGATTAGGATGTTATTTCCTAAATAATAGACCATCATCAATACGCAGTTCTTGTTTCTATGAAGTATCAGTGCAGTGAGATAAATTTTATTGTTTGAATATCAATGGGGTTGAAATAATAGTGGTATCGATCATTTTAGGAGTGACTGAAAATGATATATCTACTTTAGCTGACTCCATAAGCGCTATTGAAAGTGTTAATACGAGGTAGAGCCTGTGAAACTAGTCAGTTTACTCTTATTCTGTGAACACAATATCGGTTGATTGGAAAAAGGAACGAATAATCTTGTTGCATTGAATGAACGCTCTGCAGTTTTTCTTGTACGTCAGAACATTATTCCACCTATTATGTCAAGTTTAAGCTATAATTTCAGGAGTAAATGTGTGTTTGATGCTGTTGGTGATTTCACTTCACCTTCAGTTTCTGTTTTGCCAGGAACTTTGATGAGTGCATGCATCTTTGCTTGGTAAATCATGGATAAGTTTTGATTCTTTAAGGATATCATCAGAGCAGGTTATTTTAACTGTTTTAGCCAAACATTTGACAAGGTTTCTCTTATATTATAATGAGATACAAGCTGAAAATGTGTACGTTGTGTTTGTGTAGCCGACTTACGATGGACATTTCTTTTTGTTGTCGCGTCAGTTTTCGTTGACAAAACGTATAGAAAGGATGTGTCGCAGTTTTCTTCCTTTATGAAAATGATCGCTTGATGTACTGTTAACGGTTTTCAGTAGGTTGTTAGCTTCGGTCTTATTATTTGGATTTTGTTGAATTATTACTTACGTCTGTTACCCCTCGTCAAGGAGCATGGGCCGCTCACCAGCACTTTGTTGAAGTATATCATTAGTTAATTGACTGTATTTGACTATTATGAGTGATTGACCTCTATATTCGCAACCATGAATAAAGTGTGTATGTACAACCCTGTTGAAGTTGTATGCCATGAACTGGGTAGTTTGATTGTTAAGCCTTCATCGTATTTCTAGAAATCATGATATACTGTAGAAGGAAGTTACCCATAAGGATCTCTCCGAAAGTAACTAGCGGTTTATCCTGTCGATATTGAGTCTGATTGGTTACTGTTCTTCACGATCTAAAATATATGAAAGTCATGAATCAAGAAAGCTTTATAATATTTACTTTCGCTTTGTGTAATATTTCTATTCAGCGTTACCTCTCCATGGTTGATTCAGCATATGTCCTCTTGGGGAGAGCAGTTTACTATCATATTCTAATTAGTTATTTTCCTTGTAGATCTTTGGCTCAGTGTTCGAAGCTATTTGATTCCATCCAGTAGGTTGTATATTCGAATCCCGCTTCAACTAATACGGTTTGGACAACGGTGTACTCTAGCAGTAGCTCTCGTAGATCGTGGTTTAGTCATATGTTTATTAAATAGGTCACAAGTAGTACCATTTATCAGGAGGATGATGTCTTATAAGAATGCGCTTAATTAGAGATTTCGTCTGTGTCTCATTTTTTTCGTACTACCATGTTGTTTTCATTTATCAGTCAGTTATCAGTAACATACTCCATAAGTGACTGAACGTAGAAATTATGTTATATGTAAAGATGTTCTGCTATTTTTTGAACATTACTAAACTGACAATAGGTAAATGTAAATCCAAGTTAAATATCAGATGTTTTAAAATCAATACTTGTCATTTAGCAGTCTGGTAGATAATACCAGATCTAACACATTTATCTTTTTAAGCTCATAAACATTGGTTCGAGGAGGCACCAAATACATATGCACCACATAAATCATTCGACTTGTATGGTGGCTGGGATACTGCTCGGGTGCCCAGACCGAAGCAGGTGGTTTTCTTAGGGGCCACACCCGGAGCCTTTGGCCCAGAGTTCTAGTCCACAAGGCAGTGGAGCAACATCAGATGCAGTCCCATGCTAGCCGGTGACCAATAATTGGTTCATACGTCATTTGTTCTCCCAGGATACTGGAGCGCATGTGCACCATTGGCTTGGAATCAGGGTTTCCAACTCCCCTAGGTGAACTCTGTGTCCACTAACCCGGTTTAAGCGCCGGACATTCGCTTTTCGTCTTCATTTTCCTAAACAACACCCCGCCGCTGGAAGGCAGTGAGTAGGAATTACGTGGCAGTGGTTGTATGTATGTGGCGATGTGAGAGCATTTCGAGAGGGAGAGATGACTCTCCCCACTCTCGGCCGTACCAGGGCATTTGGGGGCGATCTAATAGTCTTATCCAGATATAAGTACTTTTATCTCAATACCCTCACCTAATTTCGTACTTCATATGATCGATTACACTGAAACACCCCATCTTAAAGTAACTTATATCATCACATTAAAGTCATCTTTTGATTTTTTTTAGGAAGTTGTTATCATAAAAAACTTGCTATATTTATTCAATTAATTAACTGAAACCAGCGTCATATTCTTTCTAAATCAAATGGTTTCCTGGTTCTCTAATGTTCACATTCTTTTTCTCCTAGTTATCTCGAACTTCAGATAGTGCTGATGATGCTTGTTTGTGGCCATCAAGTCTCCTTTCACGACGTACAAGATACTTATGTTATGTTTCAGAAAATATAAATACATGTGTGAGTTCAATGGTTCATTGATTTGTCTTGTCAAATTAAATGGGTTAGAGGGTTCGACTTTCAACCACTAACTCTCGTCTGATAACTGATTGTAAATTTTCGACATTGTGGACAGGTAGAAGACACTGACTATTGAAAATAACATTTGTAACATATAATCTCTTAACACCGACTTGAACGTGTGTTAAAGAGAAATGTGTTGCAATGTTGTACAACTGATTCTAAGAATACTTTACTGCAACAAAATTTATGATAATGAACAAATCTTTTATTACAATGATTATTAGAACCATAATTGTAGGCCAAAAATACTTCTAAAACGTCACTCAATAGACGATACTGTATCACTCTGTAATTTATTTAGTGATACGGAGTTAAATAGTAATAATATATCTGGTATCAGGAGAAAGGTAAGAAAAATCAAACATCCGATACCTGCGTTGAGCTAAATAGTCTAAGATGGGGGACTGGTAGACTGCATTTACCTCAACGCCTTTGTGACTTCTATACTGACCTTCAAATCAACGCTACATTAGTCGTTCATAAACAAAGACTGATATTTGTTTCATGACTATCTAGTTTTTGTGAAGATGTAGGATAAATATTTGTTGAGGAGGAGAGTTTTCTAGGATTTTATTGGACGTAATTTTCGATTGTTAAAGTTGATTAACAGTGCTAATCGATAGATGGGTGCAGTGATATATAGCTGAGTGATGGTTACTCACGAGACCGTACTATTGAATTAAGCTGCCGAATGATTTGAAATCACAGACAAGACCGCTAGTGAGATGAATAAGCTTTTTTTGTATTGAAATAACCTGCTCATGTACTGAATATGAACACAGAATAAACACAATAAAATATCAGGCGATTGAGGAAAATTGGCTTGTAGCACACTCATTCGTCAGTCAACTAAGACCTGGCTGTTGGACCTAATCGCTGGGGATTGTATCCATATCCCCAACATTATTTACTCAATAATCTAACACAACACTGTGTTAGCTGAAACAAAATTGTAAGGTTTCATGTTTCTGATCGTAAACTACTGAGTACGTAATCTAAGGGCATCTAATTTGTGATTCCGATATTCTTGCCCAATTTTAATTATATATATATGTGTTATGTTATGTAATGGTTTTATTAATCGTATCCTTTTATCATGTCTTCAACAATATAAGACTGGACAAAAACCAATACTTGTAAATTTGGTACTAGTAGATGACGGTGAACATATTCCTGCAAATCATCAAGCGATATATAATACAATAGATACAGGTGAACGTTAATTTCATTTCATAATCTTTTGTTCATTTTTATATCGTGTTTGGTAAAAATTATTGATGATAGCAGAAGTCAAGGTAGTAATTTTATCCGATAACTAGAAACAAAGTGTAGTTGAGTAGCAAAGTTTCAATCTAGTTAGAATTCTAATCCTCCTCAACTTTGTACGAATAAATTTATCTCATCTATTTATTTATTGCTATAGTAGAAACCTGCTGAGATAAGTTTTATGGAAAAACTAACTTATCAATAACCCATTTTTATTTAAAATATCACTTTCAGTTTTAAATAACCCATAGGCTTGTTTCAATGATTTGATACCTAAAGTACTTAGCCTCCACTAAAAGGTCATAGATTCGAACATCTCTTAACCTACTTTAGTGTGAACAATAAGGTAATATCACTAATACTAGCACATAAAGTGTAATCCAAAGCCAAGTTCATAAATATGTTTTGGAAATGAGTTTTAGTTAATCATTAATATTTTGGTGTAGGGGATTTGTGGAGATTGTGGTGTTTTCACTGTTAAAATCACGAGTCGATCTAGGCTAGACCACCACTGAAAACATGGAAGCACTGAATGACCGTTCCGTCCTATCGTAAGACTCCTCAGCAGTGCGCATTCACGATCTCATTCGCGAGACTCTTGTCCAGGACCTTTGATCTCGCTCTCTATCGCTTAACTTCTAGACGATTGAGTCAACATCCAACGACGTTAATGCCTAACTTCAGTCAATCCATGGTCTTGCGCAACCCTTCATCCGCTGCCTTCTTTTGAGACCGAAGGTCGGAACGCTCGTCCAGTGGTTCCAGGTTTTCAATGGTTGTCTAGCTTGGGTTGACCAGTGAGTTCATCTATGAAACTCAGTATTTTTCAAATAATGACACGATAATTTGATTCATTAAGAGTTCTTAACAATTATCGATGACTTCTTTTTCGAATTTAAGACAATTTGGTAGCGAAAATTTTCTTTTAGACGATATTACTTACTCAAGCTGTACAATCGTATTCATAGCCTGTTGAAAAATAGAAGAAGAGGTTAAGTCATATCATGGGATCGGGAAAATCGCTTCACAATAAAAATTTTCGGACCACACCTCCACTAACCACTATTCGAAAAACATGACACCGTTCAATAATAATTCGGCATAAATTATTTGGAAATACCAGTACTAATGTAAAAAGCAAGGAGTGACTGGAAAAAAGTAAACGACGGTACATTGTGTAAAACTATGCAAGGTGACAGTTTCTAATCTCTCTTTCTCTCTCTTTGTTAGATGGCTATTGTTTCAAATTTTCCTGTTTTTTTATATGCTTAGTCTGTGCTTATCGCTGTTTGTTGTATCATGACTAAAAGTACTCAATGATTTTTAGTACAATTGGTATGTGATTAACAGTATGATTCTGAATCCACGTTTCATCATATTTGGGACTTATCAGCTGGATATATACGCCTGCATCAGATTGTTGATATTCACACACTGGGACCTGAACCTTGTACTGTTTGGTTCAAACACCAAAATGTTCTTCACTGAGCTTTTGAAACCAGTGCGATTCAGAACTCTACCACGATCTAACTTTATCAAACACTTGTGACCAAATGGCAATATTGAGGCAATCTACTTAAGTTGATGCATATATTTCAAAAGAAACTGATGAATTGGATTCGTTAACATAAACAACAAGAAAATACAAGTTTTTATAAATAAAATTCATACTCGTTGCGTAAGCTATTGACTACCTGGTTTCAAAAGCTCAGTGAAGAACATTTTGGTGTTTGAACCAAAAAGTACAAGGTTCAGGTCCCAGTGTGTGAATATCAACAATCTGATGCAGGCGTATATATTTAGCTAATAAGTCCCAAATATGATGAAACGTGGATTCAGAATCATACTGTTAATCACATACCAATTGTACTAAAAATCATTGAGTAGTTTTAGTCATAATACAAATCCTTACATTTACAATTTATTTATTGTGTAAAATGGACGATTTCTATATCTTAATAATTATAAAGTTAATCGTGATCTCCCTTCATTTTTTGTTCCCAACTTGTATTTATTTACCACTTAGGTGAACGTGCTTTAAAAAGAAAAATTCTTTGTGCTAAATTTTCACCACGTTCTACAACTACTCGTGCAATTACCAGAATTGGTGTTTACAGTCGTCCACGTACTACAACTCCTGGTTATACACGTATCGGGTTGGTAGTTTATTATTAATATTAAATATCTATTATGTCTTGTTTGTTATAAATATTTTCTAACATTACAAATGGTCATTTTATCATTTAACCATCAGGAAAAAAAATCTATTTTTGGTATATTGAAGGAAATTCAGTTAATATTAATTGATAAAAATATAGTATATTTATGAATTGACATATCATTTCCATTTATGCATTAAAAACACGAAATTCAGCGGAAGGATCTCTTCAACGAATTTATTATCAAGCTGTACAATCGTACATATATGAAAATTTTTCGTCAAACTACTAGTTCCATGAGGACATATAAACAAGGAATAAACATGATGCAATAAAAAGATTATAATACTAGTTTACGTAATCTGAATGATGAGAATAAAAGATTGTGTATGTGTAAATAGAAAGCCTCGTAAAATTAATAAGTGAACAACGGATTATAATATGAATGAAGTAAAACAATTTAAATATATAAGAACTTTCGTCTAAATTAGAGCAAATAGTTTCACAGTATTTGGGCGCCGAGTTGATTTCCTTGAAAAAGCTTGGACCAGATTACCAGACGAAACGTTAGATTTACTTCAAATTCATTCGCTAAGATTTTACAAATATATTAATCCTATTTAATGTCAAACAATTTAAATGTTTTTATTACAATAATTAAAGTTAATAGAAGTGTAAAATTAAATGAAATGATATCAGAAACAATTATGAATAGAATCATGAGGATATTGGGAATGATTAAAGACAGAGGGGGAATATTTTCAAATATGAAATACAATAATAATAATAGATTAAGTTATTTATTTATTATTTATTTAAACACATAAATATTAGTACAAGGAAGCACCAGATAAATATGCGCCTCACAAATCTCATTCGATTTGTGTGAGGGCTGTGATACTGCCCAGGTGCCCGAACTGAAGCAGGTGGTTTTCTTAGGGGGCCACACCCGGAGCCTTTGACCTGAATGTCTGATCCACAAGACAGTGGAGCATCGTGAGGAGATGCAGTCTCATGGTAGACGGTGATCAACAAGTGATTCATACGCCGTTCGTTCTCTCAGGATCCTGGAGCTCATGTGCACCATTGTTTTGGAATCAGGGTTTTCCAACTCCCCTAGGTGGACTCACCGTGTCCACCAACCTGGTTAAATCATCGGATATTCGCTTTTCGTCCTCTCACTTTCGTAAACAACACCCCCGCCACGAGAAGGCAGTGAGTAGGACTTCCCTGGCAGAGGCTATATACACGTGGCCATGTGAGAGCATTTTGAGAGGGAGGACGGATTCTCCCCACTCTCGGCCGTACCAGGGCATTTGGGGGCTAAATTAAAAATAACGATAAGACGTACTTTTTTTGTACGCACAGTTCTGGCTTGAGCTCATGATTAGCAAGAACTTCTGCTGTTTTGAGGAGTTGTATACGAAGAAATCTAGGTAGATTTGGATGAACTGTATAGACAACCTTAAAATCAACATGTGGATTGATAGAATGATTAGATTCGGTCCGATGTTCTAGAATGGGACTCCCAACTGCTTTCATCTTACCCTTGTAGAACTACAATGGGGCATGTGCTCGTATCCGAGTTGAAAGCAAGCGCTGGCTACAACCTATGTATATTGCTTCAGTTTTGTTTGTGTAGTGATTTTCATCAACAAATAATTCTATAGTCAACATACTGTATACTTATTATTTTTTTTATATTCATTTACTATTCAACTGTTGAATTGAGTCGATCAATTAAAATGCCTTCCATTTCTTAAACGTGTTCTTAATTCACTTTAACCATCTTCACTTATTTTGTCTTGATATAACAAATAGTTATCCTCATTTTTGTTTTAACTAAGTTTAACGTACAACTAACAGATTTTCTAATCTTTCTAAAATGTATAAATATTATTATCCAGGAAATAGGATTTTTTAAAAAGAAATAATCATTGTGTGTGATGAGAGAATTGTTTCCGTCTTCAACTATATGTCAATATCCATATCTTCTAAATTTGCGTTTTTTTTCAAGTATGTGTGTGTTAACGGAAAAGCAGGTTTGTAGTTGACAATTTTACACTGGATAATTAGATCAGTTCAATTAACACAATAATCTGGACACTAGATCAATATACTGAATAAATTACAATTTTATTTATTATTTATTTAAACACATAAATATTAGTACAAGGAAGCACCAGATAAATATGCGCCTCACAAATCTCATTCGATTTGTGTGAGGGCTGTGATACTGCCCAGGTGCCCGAACTGAAGCAGGTGGTTTTCTTAGGGGGCCACACCCGGAGCCTTTGACCTGAATGTCTGATCCACAAGACAGTGGAGCATCGTGAGGAGATGCAGTCTCATGGTAGACGGTGATCAACAAGTGATTCATACGCCGTTCGTTCTCTCAGGATCCTGGAGCTCATGTGCACCATTGTTTTGGAATCAGGGTTTTCCAACTCCCCTAGGTGGACTCACCGTGTCCACCAACCTGGTTAAATCATCGGATATTCGCTTTTCGTCCTCTCACTTTCGTAAACAACACCCCCGCCACGAGAAGGCAGTGAGTAGGACTTCCCTGGCAGAGGCTAAATATTCGCTGGCCATATGAGAGTATTTCAAGAGGGAGAGGTGACTCTCCCCACTCTCGGCCGTACCAGGGCATTTAGGGGCCCTGGTTTTATTACGTATGTGATATACTTAACTTAATTATTCGACCAATAGTCACGAACTAGGCATAGGCCAGAACTCCTGTTCATTATTACACAATACAAAGCAGTACTAAAAGCGGAATGAAAGCAGAGCAAAAATTCGAACCAACTTTTGCATATAACATAATCTCTTACATTTAGTATAGCTGGATACCTCTGTCCTTGTTAATTGGCTTATCACGGCTTACTTCCGCTTGACACCTGAGTTGGAGATTAACAAAAATCCGATATGCATACAGAATAGTTTGAAGTCGTTTAATTAATGTTACAACCGTTTTGTTGGGATTACAAATAATTGAAATCTTGGAATTCGCGTGTTACATATGCCCAACCACCGACTGCCCCGACTTGCGATGTTTTATGGTGTAGTAGTAGGTTGGAAGAAAGCTAGGGGTGGCTAGGCCAAAACGTGGCACAAATTCATGAAGTCACTGACAATTGGACTAAGCCATGCTGGTAGGTGTAGACTACCTGGTTGGGATCTACGAGATGATGGCAACCGATGGTTAGAGACCTTAAATGACGTGGCTCAAAATCTTTTGCAATGGCGAAGATGCATCCACTCTTTGTATTCTACCAAATTCTAATCTTCTGAATTTTTTTGTCCCTTTCTTTTTTCTCTTTCCAAATTTATTTCACTGGATTATACCCTTTGAATGACATCTTCAAACCCTAATCTTTTGGATTACTGCTTATACTCTTACTACCTTTACCACTATGGGATTTGAATCGACAACTGCATCTCTGTGCTAATGTGGTATGACAACTCGAACTGATGTAAGTACGTACGAAGTTTTACGTTGTGATTGATTGAATGCAAGTTTCGGATGTTTTTTTCGCAACCTTCGTCTTGATAGTTAATTTTGATTGACAAAATGGTGCTCTGTATTCCGTAAACTTATTGACTGATTATTTGTATGAAGAGAATTGAAAGCAATCGACAAGCTGTCAAATTACTTATTTTTTGTGGTTAGTTAAGTGTTACTCATAAATTTTTATTCATTCATCCCTTTCGGAATGTATTATGTTCTCTTATTGTCTAGTGTTCCCTGACCACGATAATTCACTTGGCTCTTCTCAAATCAGCACAAAAATTGACTCCGAACAATATATATATATATATATATATATATATATATATATATATATTTCAATAACTCGAAAGTTTACGCTGAATTCAAATGAGGATATTCTACTATCTTCTCGATTCGTCCACAAGTTGCATTAGTATTTCATAAAAAGATAAATACTGTTAAGTACACTTAGCTGTTGGTATATTCTTATCTTTTTCATTTAAAATAAAAAGGAATTTTTTTCGGTAATAAGCCAATTGTATTCTTTCCATTCCTTTTCGACCCATCTCTTCTTTTCTTTATTTATTTCATAAGTGATATCAATTCGATTATAATTTATTGTAAGCATACAGAGATTGGTCTACTTAATTCAGATAGATCATCTGTTCAAGTAAAACCTCCCCCGTCAATCCCACCTCGACCATCAATTCCAGATAGTAATAATTTATATCCAAGTTTACCTACATTTTCATCATCAAGCAACTCTTCAACTTGTGAAGCATTTGCTACAACACGACGTGGAACAGTACACCGTATGTATTTTTTATATTATTATTGATTGTATATCTTTTGGGATTTTCCTGGTGTGTGTATATGTATGTGTGGAGCGATGATGGTCATTCACAACACTAACGTTATTATATAAAGTGACTAAAGGAATTACAGGTAGCATACATTTGATATTGTTATGTTTTACTAGCTACATAGCCTAATTGCGAGGTTTACGCTGCCATTATGAACAACATCATCAACACCTCTCTCATTGAGTTTTCTCCATAAAATAGGCGCTGATGATGTCCAGAGCGACAATGAAGCCTATGGAATTAAAACATCGAATTCATAAAACACATTATCATCAAAAGTATACACCTAAGCTGAAAATCATCCTCGTCATCATCATTTCAGGTAACATAGATTTAAATAAACTGTTTGTTCAAAAAAATTGATACATCTACACACTAAGCTATTGACTTTCAAGTCAAACTCCAATGGAAGTGAACAAATATGCTTCCTATTCTCTCCTTTCCTACCCACTCACTTGAAACATAAGTTCAAGTTTGTTCAAAAACTTTATTGATCGTTACCCAATAAAAATTAATTTACATTCGAATTCACCTTATTATACACAGATTACATTCCGTGATTATTAGTCAAAGAAATGATCTAACTGAACGGTTGTCAAGTGAATGGAAAATCATCTTGGATTAACATATACAAATCAATGTTACATTGAGCAACAAATTTCATCGAATCGATTTAAAATTCAAATACGGATAGAGATCACACTGAATCCATGCGAAAATCAATTGAATGGAAATTACATTCTAAATTAATACATAATTTTAGATTTGATTTCTTCCTAATAAATTTTATTTTGGAGATTTAATATTTCCAAGGAAAGCCTTTTTAGAAATCATGATAAATTCAGTTTCTTTTATTGCCCACTTGATCATATTAGTAGATTATAGAGTTTACTAATAACAAGCTTTGGTTTACACTCAGTGAAAGCAATAACCTCTTTAACCAGTAACAGTGAATTGCAACCGGTAATTCTAACTCCTGCTGATCTACACAACTCTTATCTCCAGTGATCAATCAAAATAGGCTTAACCGAGTTACTTTCTACTTTTTTATTATCATTCTGACTCAATAACTCACAGCGTTAGATTACCACAATGCACTAAGAAAACCAGGATCACAACTTGTGCATAACTCAATATGTCATATGTGAATTAAAAAACAGAGCAATAGACACATAATTAATTACTTTATAATTGGCAAATTTTCCTATAACAACAGTTAATGAGAGTGAAATGAAAGTTTTATTTCTCAATTCCCCTCTCTCTAGTATATTTACATGCATCAGCAAAATTTGAAAAAACCAACATCATTTTTGTCTTATTTTACTCATTCTCTCATGAAATATTTAAAGAGCTAAGAGTGCAAAGCATCTAGTAAGTAGTGTGTAAAAGGATGAGCAGAAAGTGGAGCTAGGTGTACATCCTAACCAAAGCACCATTGTACGTTTTTCTCATAATTATTCTCAGTACTAAATATTTCGTAAGAAAAAAATTTTCTTCATAGATTTACCACAATGACAATTTTCTTTCCTACTTATTTTAAATGTCCTTTAAACTCACTGGTTGTGTAGCACTTTAGTATTGCTTTATTTTTTTGTTTTCAATCGTCACCTGAATTATGTGCCTTCGTCTAGTGTGTAATGTTAGGGAAAAAGAGACTGAGTTTAGCAAATTGTGACAGTCTTTCATAACCTTTTAGTATGCAACTCCATTATATGACTAGAATTGCAATAGGTGTAAATCCCTTGAGTTAGTGGAGATGTGTATGTAGGCTTTCGCGTCTAGCCCCAACTTACTTTGTGTGTTGGAAAGGCCCGCAGAGCAACGTATATGAGAAAATCTGGAAAAATTAGAACAAGGGAAATAATGAGCTAGTGACTCACTAAGCACATAGAATACACTTACATTTGATTATAAAAACAGGTGACAATAACTAGCAATAAGACATATGAGAGATTACGACAATCTGAAAATCAAAACTAAAAGTTAGATCAAGGTTTCAAATGAGTTACACTTTCCTAGTTTCAGTTTTTGCATTTTTTATTAAATTACAATATATATGTTAGTCGTTGATTGTCTGTTTTTAGTATTTAATTCTGCTTTCAGTGTTTGATGTTTTATTCATTTTTACATTCGATTCTTAATGATTCAGCTCTCTCTGGGATTCCTTTCGAATTGAACAAACGTTATCTTACTGATGAACCAGGGGAATACAAAGTAAGTACGGGCTTTTTTGCTTGTTTATTTCAAGGTATATCACTGTCTCTCCTACATCTATTGACGGAACGGCTTCAAGTAAGGTAAGAGTAGCAATTGTTTCATTTTAAAAAAGTTTATATTATTTTTGGTAAATTCAACATATAGGGAAGACATCTTTTAGGCCAACAATCAGATGCTGAGTAGATAAAATACGATCAGCTTTTTTCGTTGCTTAAACTTGTCACAAAACTGATCAGTAAACAGTTGCTTACTTACTTACTTACTTTCGCCTGTTACTCCCAATGGAGCATAGGCCGCCGACCAGCTTTCTCCAACCCACTCTGTCCTGGGCCTTCTTTTCTAGTTCTTTCCAGTTCTTGTTCATTCTTCTCATGTCTGTCTCTATTTCTCGGCGTAATGTGTTCTTTGGTCTTCCTCTTCTCCTTCGACCTTCAGGATTCCATGTGAGGGCTTGTCTTGTGACACAATTGGGTGATTTCCTCAAAGTGTGCCCAATCCACTTCCAGCGCTTCTTCCTGATTTCTTCCTCCGCTGGAATCTGGTTTGTTCTCTCCCACAGTAACTTGTTGCTGATAGTGTCTGGCCATCGGATCCGAAGTATCTTGCGTAGACAGCTGTTAATAAACACTTGTATCTTCTGGATAATGGCTTTCGTAGTTCTCCACGTCTCTGCCCCATACAGAAGAACTGTCTTGACATTTGTATTGAAAATTCTAACCTTGGTGTTGGTTGACAATTGTTTTGAGCTCCAGATGTTTTTCAGTCGTAGGTATGCTGCTCTTGCTTTGCCGATCCGCGCCCTCACATCTGCATCTGATCCACCGTGTTCATCAATGATGCTGCCCAGATATGTAAAGATTTCCACATCCTCCAAAGCTTCTCCGTCAAGTGTAATTTGATTGGTGCATATTGTATTGTATCGGAGAGTCTTGCTTTTCCCTTTGTTTATATTGAGACCTACTGCTGCTGAGGCTGCTGCTACACTGGTCGTTTTCTCCTGCATTTGTTGTTGCGTTTGTGATAGAAGAGCCAGATCATCCGCGAAGTCTAAATCGTCAAGCTGCATCCTGCCTGTCCACTGTATCCCGTTCATTCCTCCAGATGTTGACGTCTTCATAATCCAGTCGATCACCAGGAGAAAGAGAAAGGGTGAGAGTAGGCAACCTTGCCTAACACCGGTCTTTACCTCGAACGAGTCGGTGAGTTGTCCTCCGTGGACGATTTGGCAGTTTAGTCCATCATAGGAGTTCCGTATGATGTTGACTATCTTCTCAGGCACGCCGTAGTGTCGAAGAAGCTTCCATAGTGTCGTCCTGTCCACGCTATCAAATGCCTTCTCGTAGTCGATGAAGTTGATGTAGAGTGATGAATTCCATTCGATTGATTGTTCCACAATGATACGTAGAGTTGCGATTTGATCTGTGCACGATCTATCCTTACGAAATCCAGCTTGTTGATCTCGAAGTTGAGCGTCCACGGAATCCTTCATCCTGTTTAACAATACTCTGTTGAAGACTTTTCCTGGTATTGAGAGGAGAGTGATGCCCCTGTAGTTGTCGCACTTGCTCAGATCGCCTTTCTTTGGTATCTTGATGAGAAGTCCTTCTTTCCAGTCTGTTGGTACATGTTCTTCGTCCCAAATCTTACCGAAGAGGATGTGGAGTATCTTGGCAGTTGCTGTTACATTTGCTTTCAGTGCCTCTGCCGGGATGTTGTCTGGTCCCGCTGCTTTGCCACTCTTGATTTGTCTAATGGCCATGCTGATCTCTTCAATTGTTGGTGGGCCAATATCGATTGGGAGGTCTGTGGGTGCTGCTTCGATGTTGGGTGGGTTCAATGGAGCTGGTCGATTCAAGAGTTCCTTGAAGTGTTCTACCCACCTGTTTCGTTGTTCTTCAATGTCGGTGATTACTTTGCCTTCCTTGTTTTTCACTGGTCTTTCTGGTTGACGGTAATTTCCAGCAAGTTTCTTTGTTGTATCATACAGTTGTCTCATGTTTCCCTCTCTTGCAGCCTTTTCTGCTGTCATCGCTAAATCTTCCACATATTTACGTTTGTCGGTCCTGATGCTCCTCTTCACTTGCTTGTTTGCCTCTGTGTATTCGGCTTGTGCCTTGGCTTTCTCTGCTCTTGTTCGGCTGATATTGATTGCTACCTTTTTGTTCCTCCTTGCTTCAATTTTATCCAGTGTACCAACAGTGATCCATTCCTTGTGATGGTGCTTCTTTTGGCCCAGAACCTCCTGACATGTTGAAACGATTGCCTCCTTAATACCTTTCCAGCTGCTCTCTATGGTGGTTCCCTCTCCATTGAGTAGGTCATGAAAGGCCTGGAACCTGTTGCTGAGGGCTATGTTGAATTTGTTGAGTTTGTCAGCATCTCGAAGAAAGGCCGTATTAAACTTTTGTGATGTTGTCCGCGCCGTTGTCCACTGCTTCTTGAGTTTTAGTTTAATCTTGGCGACCAGCAAATGGTGATCGGATGCTATATCAGCTCCTCTTCTGGTTCTCACATCCTCCATCGTCCTCCTGAACTTTTTGTTGTTGCAGACATGGTCGATTTGATTTTGTGTAGTGTGATCCGGTGAAATCCAAGTGGCTTTGTGTATGTTTTTGTGTGGGAATATGGTGCCACCTATGACCAGTTTATTGAAGGCACATAGGTTTGCAAATCTCTCACCGTTTTCGTTCCTTCCTCCCAGTCCATGTTGTCCCATGACGTCTTCGTATCCAGTGTTGTCCATTCCAACCTTAGCATTGAAATCTCCCATTAGAATGGTCAGGTCCTTGGTTGGGCACTTCTCGAAGATTGACTGCAGCCTATCGTAGAATTGGTTTTTAGCGTCTTCATCGTAGTCGTTGGTCGGCGCATAGCATTGGATGATGTTCATTGTAATGCCCTCTCTCTTTGTTCTGAAGGAGGCTTTGATGATCCTTGGTCCATGAGATTCCCATCCTATAAGTGCATTTTGTGCTTTTCTAGACAGCATCAGTGCCACTCCTTGTGTATGTGGGGCATTTTCTTCTTCATGACCGGAGTATAACAGAAGTTCCCCTGAAGACAGTCGTTGTTGTCCAACCTGCGTCCAATGTGTTTCACTGATTCCAAGCACTTCCAGGTTGTATTTTCTCATTTCCGCAGAAATTTGGAAGACTCTGCCGGTCTCCCACATTGTCCGGACATTCCATGTACCTATAAAAATTGTCGCTCTGGTTGTAAGAAGGTGCATCGGCCTCATGACTTCCGAATGAACTCGGCTTTGATCATGAGACGTCATAATTATTCCTTCTACTCCCAGGGCAGAGTTTGAATGGTTTGAATGATTTTTTCTGGTTAGCGTTTTTTTAGCGAGTTGATTTTCTACGGGATGGGGTCGCTAACCCCATGCCCAACCCTCCTCCTTTACCCGGGCTTGGGACCGGCAGTAGCCCCTGGAGGAGCTACAGGCGGAGTTATGTTAACCTGTTAGTGAGTTCTTACTGAGATCCTTCATTAAACCACTTGTCATAATGTCCACCTTCCTGTTGGATTTCTTTACATTTAAGTAGAGTAGAGGAAGTTTTGACTTGTAGAGCTAAGCGAATGTCAATTATTGTTCACAATTTTCGTAAAATTCTTCAAACTCAACAAATCACGCAAGTAATATAATTTACAATTTGTATACTTATACTTTCAGAATAACGGTGCATCGAAGTACAAGTCATTTGATGAAATAGATTCTCAGGTAATTTCCGCAGTAAATCATCTATTTGTTAACCTTTTTAATTTCATTTTTACTTATGACCACTGAATTTTATTACAACTGTAAAAAAGTGACAAACTGGGACTAGTAAACTGACAGCAATACTTTGTAGTAATGCTTCGATTTGGCATTGCTGCAATCCCAATTGGCTATAAAATTAAAGGACATTTGGAAAAAGGGTCATGAAAAATCGACGAGAAACTAATGAATGCAAGATACTTGTGTATTTTATATTTATTGAAAGACAAGGATCAAATATATCTAAAGCAATATGGTTGATTCCTAATCGTGTTATTTGTTGTGACCGAGTACATATATCCATAAAATAACCTACTGATGTTGTTTCTCAAAATTGTTGCACTAATTGAACCATCTTTATACCTGAATACACATTGTCGAATACATCGTTGGCACCGGATGTTAGCAGTCCTTCAGAGACAACTATCATCGACTCCTAATTGTTGTATCATTGTCTATTGGCTAATCCAATCGATGCACGATATTTCGGTTGTTTATGTTAGTAGGGTGTTTGTATAGACATTTTTCATGACAACGTTTAGTTACGCAATGTCTAAATCGTTCACCGAAAATTGTTATCCATAAGTTAAATCGAAACACTTGAACAGTGATGCCTCAGTTAGTTGTTCATACATTATATTTGTTTATGTAAATTATCTAGGAATCTTCCTTGGGTAGACAGCGTGTACATGTTATCTGTAGTCACATATGGATGCAGAGAATACTTCGCTAGTAAATACGTGGACTGTTTTGAGTTCGTTTTTCAGGCATAATCTTCCACAGTATCATGTATAGACCATACTTAAGAAACCGCTTTATTTACCTGTTAAGTCAGAAGTCTACGCCTAGATATTTAGAAAAAAGAAAAATAGACCGAAGAAGTTAATGTTGTTTTCTCACTACCCAATATTCCCTGATTACATTACTTCACTCGACTCTTCTCGAATCAGAACAGGGATTGAGAGAGGGCAATGTGTGTTACAATAACCTGAGTAATATAGATACAGTAATAAATCAGTCAGTCAGTCAGCTTCAACGTAGGACCAGGCACATATGCATCGGTCCAAGCTGCCATAACAGTAATAAATGCATTACAGTTTATATAGAATTCAAATCAGAACATTCTACTATATTCTCTATTCGTCTACTTGTTTTGACTGGTTTAAAAATAGACCAATCAGCGTGTTCTAGTCAGAGCAGTCAATAATCAGGACTGTCCTTCCAATAATTATTTTTTCACTATAGCTGTAAACTCTTAGGTACGCCTGTTTTCTAATAAGTGTTAAACTGACTACTAATTAAGTAATATTATGTTAGATAACAACGGAGTTACAGGTTCAAGGGTATTTATTAAAAAAATTGATATAGTTTTCAAAAAATAATCAAAATATGATGTTGACTAAGGTGGTTTTTAAATGTTCAGTGGTATCTGACAAGTAGATTTGAACTTGTAGTTCATAAAGCGCAGGTATCATACAATTACCTGTAGAAGGAAATTTTATTCAGCAGTCGACTATTAACGACTGTTCGATTTTTATTTCATTGTGACAAAACTAATATAATTGATTGATTACGTATAAAAGCTATCACTATCTATTCTTGTTGATTTCGAATTTTTTAGTTTCAATATCGTTTTGATCAAGAACGATTTTTACTTGCAACATCAACTTGAAGGCTTATCAAACACAGAGATAATTTTAAAATGGTTGATATAATCTATATTTATTTATACAGAATAGTTTTCTTCAACTTTTAAAATTCAGATATCACAGTTTTCTCTTTTTTTTATATTAAAATAAAGTCGATAAGAATGCGTTGTTTTATTGTATTCAAAGTATTCCCTTACATAATGCTAACATCAATGTGCAGTAAATTGGGTGGTTTGCAATTGGTTAGTTAGCTGATAGTTTACTTTATTGGTTGAGCTTAACCATGATGTTCGTTGAATATCATAGGTAAGCATATAGAACATGTTAATTAACCAATGTGACTACATTAACTTCTTATTCTGCCCGAATATCTGAGTTATTTTCGCAGTTTATATCTGATTATCCAGTTAGTCAAATGAGGAATCTCATAATTACTATCAGCAATATCCTAAGTACTTTTTCAAGAGTTCCAGGTAGTGCGTGATAAACTGCAGAAGTTCGTGTGGTTAAGGTAGTCATATGATTTGAGAAAGTAAAATATCACATTCTAGTCAATGTTTCTAGGTGCTGATGTGTGCAGTCTCGTATGGCTAGTGTCGGGGATTTCTGTTTAGGTTTTTGTATTCTACGGTTGTTGAATGAATAGATAAGCTGGCAAATATAGAGGCTAAGTCGTTCCCGTTTTCTATTTTCTTCGTAGAAATAAGTGCGTCCTAATCATCAGGGCTGTAATGCGACCTCTTATCTATGGGTTCGTTTACATAAGCTTAAGTACAATGTATTTGAATATTCTGACAGACTATTTATATTTAGTCCTTGAGGAGTCATGCCTGGGACATCACTTTAAGTCGCATTTTTTTCGGGTTTCATGACGAAAACCCCTATGCCTAAAATTTTACAGATTTTGACGGATTTTAAAATATATAGAGGCATTGTAAGGATGAGAATCTCAAGGTTAAAGACCTTCTTGTAATTATACACTTTAAATTGCTTCGTGTACACATAACTGTTTTCAAGGTTAGGATTGAGGATTTGTTCGTCACTACGTCAAGAGTAGATAGGATCGTATCTATTTAGGTATAGTCATATTGAGAAGAGTAAACTATGACTTTCGATATTTCAGCAATCGGTGAATTGTTCACTTATTGGAACTGACTAGTGCTGATGGAAGTAAGTCTGTCAACACGCGAAATATTGTGGATAAAAGTCTGTGGTTGTTATTTTCTTTAATTTGTAGTTGGAATTTGTCGCATCTTCATAACTGAACTAAAAGTAGGGTGCTCAAATTAGGTCATTTAGCAAAGATATCCACCAGCCGAAGTTGCCGCACCATATAAGTGGTTACCGAAATTCTTCGCCTTTCATACCTAGATTGCCTGTTCTTGGACAGATAACATCATATATGTCGTGTCAATAAAATATCAGACACTAAACAAGTCTGCCAAGTAAAACTCACCTCTACCTTGGGAGGACGGTTAGTGAACTTCTAGTCGCTTACCAAACTCGGAGAGGGGTTGACATGAACCAAGCAACTGTCTGCAAGATTAATCATTACCAAAAGAGCTGACCTGTTGCGACCTGTGATTTTGCTCAGTGGCACTGGGGTTACATTCTTTTGCACTAATATCTCCATGTTTGTGATTCTGATTGCACATGATACCGTTTCCGGTATCCTACAATTCGCGGTTGGCTCACAGAGGTGGGAGAGCAACTAATGGAATTATGAACGATGTTGCTTATTATTAAAGAAAAGCTTAGTTAACATCATGGTTAAACAGATTTCATCATACTAGTGATTAAAACGGGTTATCGTCTCTGAATGAATGTACTTTCTGAACTATTTGTTCTAGTTTGACAGTTGGCAATAGTTAACTACATTTTTTTAACCATTCTTGTCTTGGGTGTGGACGTCTCTAACGAAAATTATACTGTTTTTCCTTGTTATTTCAAATGTGCATTTTTTCGGGGCAAGATATACTTCATCTTCCACAAACATTCAAGAAGCAGATTAGCCTAACCACCTGGTTCGGTTGAATATATCGTTTAGTGATCTGGATGTATAATCAATCAATTTCGCCCTCCACATCATTTTCAATGATATTCAGTGGATGTAGACTGTTAGTCGTACAAAATGGATTAGCACCTAGTAGCGATTTTATAGTACCGCCCTTGCGATGGAAATACCTTGTATATAGCAACTCAGATACAATTGAGTTTGTTTACACCTAATCTGGTTAAGCCCTTTTTATTAACTTACTTAACAGACATCATCATTTGGATAGTAACAATTTGCATATTATTTGCACTGCTATACCACTAGAGCACATGACACTCTATCCGAAATGTTGACTGCTTAAATATCATTCGATGACTCGTACTCCTCCCCATATGTGTGCGCACGCAAGTATTATTATCAGCCTTTGTTTAGCTTTGCTGTGCCCTTATTAAATTTGACTATAAATTGCCTATGTAATTACTTGCTGTTCGTCTCGTTCGTTTCCTTCGCCTGTTCTCTCGCTCGTTGATATTCGCTCAGGTGTTGTTAGCTTTTTGACCTGAGTTGTTCGACAATAAACTGTAGTTGCTGCTATCCTTCGTCTTCTGATTTTACGCACCGTTAAGTTCAGAATTAAAACGGTTATCGAAGTAAACGATTAACGAATCGCGGCACTACATGTATACACATGTGGATTTTTGAGATCATCAGACGATGTCTTGTTTACAACCGGAAAACAATAATGAGAAAGTAGTCTGACAGTAAATAAATCCCAAAAATAAATAGTTCCGTACGTCTTCGATATTAATACTGACCTCATTAATTATACTGGACACTTCCTAGCTGAAGGCGCCTGGTCACGCATCTTCACTTAATTACGAGTGGTTAAACTGTACTTAGCATCCCTTTCAACTGTTAGCCATCCCGGTCCAAATGCTTCTCGATATATTGACAGTCTTCGAAGTACATTTTTGAACTCCTTCATTCCTGACTTGACTGGGTTGGTAAAAATCTTTTATAAAGTTGTTACATGTGAGAGCGTTGTCAAACTCAAAATACCTGTGGCATATGTAATGGATTCCAGTGACATACATTGGTGTGAATGTGTAGTTATCTACGTTCCATTTTACTTCATACCCGAAATATCTGCAGATTCCTGACTTCAAGCACCTACTATGTGCTGCCCATCTGGTCACATTAAAAGTCTTGATATCCTAGGCCTGCAAACATCGTTTGCTCTTTCAGATAGTTTCAAGGTTATACAATGTCATGTAAGTATTTATAGCGTAGCTGTGAATAATTCCCCAAAATCAATAGCTCATTAAGTGTTCGACATTGGATGCTGACCACGTTGTTTAAGTGGACTTGCTTAGCTGAAGGCTTTCGGTCATGCATCCGTACCAGATCACGTTTCAACTCGGCGTGGGACACAGCCCCTACGTTTATTAGCCAGCTTATAGTAAAGGTTCCTCGATATATTGGTAACGTATCAAATATATCTTTCCTACCTCTCCTCGTCTGACTTCTGGTTTCTATTCGACTGGGAAAGAACGATTATAGGAGATACTACTGGTTGCTAGTTGGCAAACTAGAATATCCGTGGTATCCTCAGTGGTGAGAACGACGTGATCTGGTACACCAAGCCAATATACTGTTAGTCTGTTCCATTTTGGAATATTTTTATTCATTGTTATTCTTTATTTGAATTTTATATATTGTGAAATACTTTTTCGCGAATTTTTTTTCACGGATATATTTTAATTAGACATTTTTCGTTATCTACATTACTATGACGGAACACTCTCCTAAGGTTCTTAAGTTTAAGTCTATTCCCCCTATTTCGATTCAGTTAACGCCATTTTGGCCCGACAATATCGAGTCCTGGTTCTGCTATGCAGAAGCCGATTTTTGCATGCACGGAATCACGGACTCGCGCACACGTTTCCTCGCGGTAGTTAAGGCGTTACCGCGCGAGTTTAACAGGTACGTAACACCTAGTATGTTTACTAGTGATGTTCCCGAACCTTACCAAAAGCTTAAGCTATCGATTTTAAAACGCGGAGACCTAACTGATCGACAACGGTTATACCAACTCCTTAACAATATCGACTTGCAGCATGGTTCTGCGACGGACATGTTACTTAGAATGAGAGAAGTCATAGGCCAACGAACTTTCGATGATGGCCTATTTAGACAACTTTTCTTGTCTAAACTCCCTCAACAGGCGCAGGCAGTGCTTGTTTCATTTCAAAACAATGCCATAGATGAACTAGCTGCATCTGCCGATCGAATCTTGGAAATCACCAAATTTTCTAAGGCCGAGGTTTTTTCCGTCAAAGAAAAACCCCAATCGACCTCGACTGACATGGCCGAACTATGTCACACGCTTACACGATATCTTAGAGTTCGTAATGACCGTAGTCGGTCAAAATCCTCACGTAGGAGCGTTTCACGTAAGCGATCTGGCTCTCGACCACGAGAGACAGACAGTCACGACTGGTGCTGGTATCATAACCAGTACGGTAAGTTTTCCAGAAATTGCAGTAAACCTTGCAATTATCCGACCTCAAAATCGACTGACACGAATAAGATTTCGGGAAACTTCCCAGCCGGCACGCGTTAGCGGCAACCGTAGCCGGCGAACACAGCCGCCTCTTATATGTTACGGATGTGACTACGAAAGTTCGCTACCTCGTCGACACTGGCACAGAAGTTAGCGTTCTTCCAGCAAATCCCGACGACAGACTTCGAGAGTCTGTTTTAAGTTTACAGGCGGCAAACGGAAAGCCGATCGCAACTTACGGTAAAAGGTACGTCTACCTTAACGTGGGTTTACGCAAACCCCTACACTGGATTTTCGTGGTTGCAGATGTCTCTATGCCAATCATTGGTATCGACCTGTTACAACACCACAATCTACTCATCGACACACGCTCACGAAGGTTAACAGACGGAAACACTAAGTTATCTGTTTGCGTAACTCCTTAATCTGGTTGCAGGTTATCCCCAGTCACGATTAAGCACACT